GCTCGTCACGCAACTTGGTAAGTTCGCCGTTCGTAGTCGAAAGCTCGGCGGAGATTTCTTCGATGCGCTTTTCGAGGTCCTGAATCTTCTTATCCTTCTCTTCGATGAGACGCTCCGTTTCCTCCCGATACTGTTCCTGGGTCTCAGTGACAGACTGCAGACGCTCTTCGCTCTGCTGACTGATAGCCTTATAATCCTCCACCCGCTCTTCGGCGTGTTGAAGCTCATTCTTTGTCAACTCCAAATCACGACGGAGCTCGGAAACTTCAATACCAAGTTCCTGCTCGCGTGTCAGGCCACTCTCCTGGCCTTCCTCCGGAACCGCAGGCGCTTCAGTAGGAGCAGCAGACACACTGGGCTTAGTCTGCACGACCTGGAGGCGTTCTTCGGCGCTACGCAGCTCGACAGTGAGTTCATCGACTCTCGATTGCAAGTGATCTCTTGTCGTCTTTGCAGCCACTAACTCCTCCCGAGCTGCGCCCAAGCTTGTCACCAAGTCGTCAATTCGCTTCTGACTTTGCTCATGCTCGTATTCCCTACGCAGCGATGCCTTCTTTCCTTCCTCAACCTCATCGTTAAGCTTCCGCTTGGTGGATTGAAGCTCCGATTCGAGAGACTCCACACTGCTTTGCAAACGACGGCGACTCTCAGCATCGGTATGCTCCCGCTCATTGAGAATGGTTTGGAGGTTTGCGTTGAGAGAATCAAGTCGGCCTCTCTCGTTACGTAGTGTCTCGTTATCCTCGATGAGTCTCTTCTCGATATTCTTCCAGAGATCCTTTTCTGCCTTGAGGTTGGCATTTTCCCGTTGAAGGCTCTCAACGAGGCCCTTCGTCTCCACCAAATCTTCGGCAGCTTGCTGAGTCCTGATATCCTGACGGTTAGCGTTCTCCAGGAGGGTAGCGTAGCGTTTCTGCATCTCTGCGTTTTCGTTCTTGAGCATATCGAAGTTACCCTGAAGAAGCTCCGCTCTCTGTGTGGCGGCAACAAGCTGACTGCTAGAGCGGCTAATTTCGCTCATCAGTTCACTGTTCTTCCTGGACAACTCATTGACCTGTTGCTTCAAAGCTGCATGGTCGGTGGCGGACTCCTCGCGGAAGCTGTCGAAGTGTGCCTGCACCTTGCGCAACAGATCAGCGTAGTCTGGAACATCCTTGGCCGGCTCTTCAGAAGCGGGAGGAGCTGCGCCCAGAGGAAGAGACTGGGAGAAGACAGAAGCATCGCCAACAGTCTGACGGCGGCGGGTAAGCATGCTCCGGAACGTATCTCTCTCCTTAACATAGCTCTTTGTTTGAGCGACGAGGTTAGCGATCTCGTCACGGTAAGTCTGCACCCGGATTCTCAGGTCCTTCAACTCTTCTTGCTCTTGTTGACGGATGGCATCCTGCTCGCGAGCTTCTGCACCCTCCATCTTATCCCCAAGCTCTCTCAGCATACGACGGAGAGTAACATTCTGCTCTTGGAGCTCGTGGAGATCCTTGAACGTCATCAGATTGCGACTGATGAACCGTCCGGTTGGGTTGAGATCAGCAGAGGAGTCATCGATCTCCTGGCGCGCAATCTTCTCGAGTTCCTCCCTATCGTACGTTGTTTCGCCTTCCTTCAGAATTGCATTTTCCAAAACCAAGACCTTAATCTGGGAGCTCAGGTCTCTGAGTTGCTGGCGCAAAATGTCTCCCTCCCGGGCCAATCCCTCCACCTGGCCTTGCCACTTTCTTGCCTCCTTAGTTGCATCGTCTCGTTCCTTCCCAGCAGTTTCCAGTATGTTAGACATCTCAACAACAGCGTTTTCAAGTCTACCGTGGTCCGCACGCAGCTCATCGATTTCAGGCTTGCTGGCCTCGAGATCTTGGACCATCTCGTCTAGAGTTGATCGAAGTTCTTGGTTTGTTTTTTGCTCCATGGCCAGCGAAGTTCTCATCTTGTCGTACTCGGTATACATCTGCGTCAGTGTGAGTCCTCCCTTTCCGCGCGACGCTCTAGGTGAAAACGCGCCAACTGGGGTACTGGGACGCATTGGGGTGCTGGGCCCTGCGCCATTCAGTGCAGGGCTCATGGATCTTCTTCCAGCAAAACCATCGGATTCGAGCTGGCTGACCGTGAGCTCAAGCTCAGCAACGCGGCGTTCAGCAGCTTCTTTGTCGGCATGTTCGGTTTCAATCTCCACTCGGAGTCGGGAAATCTGCTCCGCAGCATCTTCCCTTGCTTTATCCAGAGCGAGTTGACATTCCTTGGCACGCTGCTTCGAAGTCTCTGCAGCATTAGACTGCAATTCGGCTAGTCTACTTGCACTGTCCAATTCGATTCTGAACGACTCGGTCGCCTTGATAGCGTCTTCTCTGAGCTGGTTGATGCTGGAAAGAGCCTCTTCATAACGCTGCTCCACCTCATCCAGGCGGCTCTTAAGGGCATTCTCGCTTCGTCTCAAGGAGTCAACATTTGCACTGATCTCCTCGTTTTCACGCTGAAGCTCCGAAATCCGGGCGCTCTTCTCCTTGCGAAATTTCAGATATTCGGCGGACTTGGTCTTCAATTCCGTCTCGAACCACTCGTTGTTTTTCTTTGTCAATTCCAGATCTTGTTGAAGACTCTGCTCACGGAACTTAGCGCTGGCGGATGCAGAGTTGGCGGCTTGGAGGTTCTGCTCGGCGGTGGAAAGTTCGCGTCTCAATTCGATTGTCTTCTTGTGTTGTGTTGAGAGCTCCTCGGCAAGCTTGTCGTATGCTGCGGACTTGGATTCGAGGAGTGATAGAGTGTCTCTATTAGAAGCTTCGAGCGACGATATACGAGACTTCAATGAGCTGGCTTCAGACTCGTTTGACGTGGAGGACGACTTGAGTGTAGCGATCTCGGATTCCAGGGTAGAACGAGTGTTTTCTGCAGAGCGTAAGTAGACGCGTATTGGCGGGTCCGCATAGGAACTAACCGGACTCGTGAAGTTTCTTCCTTGTTTCCTCGACTTCGGCATGACCTTTCTCGACCGAGCTCTTCAGAACCTTGATTTTGTTGTCTCTGGAGCGAACGGCATTATCGAGTTCCACCTCGAGGCGTATCTTGTCAGACTTGAGCTCGTCATGCTCGCGTGCTTTCGTAGTGATAGCTTCCAAGAGCTGGTTGACTAGCTCGACCGTAGGAGCTGTGGTGAGGGTGCTCAAAGTCGACTCGGCAATGGCGTAGTGCGACGAAATAAACGGTAACTCAATCGTAGCAGCAGCCATGATTACCATGGGCTGTCCGCAGCGATAGCTGCTAGCAAATGAAGGGTAATTCTATATGACGACAAACAATGGATGAAGTGACGGAACAAGCCACAGGAGGTGAATCGGAATGGGTCTGCTGCGCGTTGAAAAGATATTCCCGTTAGCGAGAGCGCACAGCTTCCAGGTAGCAGACTAAGCCATGGAAAAGCGCTGGGAATGATGGAATGGACACCAGTGAAGGGGAGAAGATGAACAGGGCCCCGTTGCGCGATGAGATGTAACGAACGAGAGGCTCATGGCTGGGCGGAGCTCTCGAAACGGTTAGCGCATGTCAATAGTCACGTGATAAATTGCCGCCTCAGGCCGGCACGGCTGCATCGCAAAGTCTCAAGGCGGCGATGACGACCTTCTTCCTTCTCTTTCTCTCCCCACATCCCCACTGACTCGATTTACCTCGTCTGTGAGGTAGTTTTGATCTAGGGATTGTCCCTCGGGGTTGGCCCATTTCTCTCTGTTCTCATATGATATAACACAGCTTTTACCAGAGCTCCTTTGTGCTCTCACAAAGCGAGGCCTTGCCTCAGTCTGGCTTCACTGCCCCCTTGGCCTCGACCTTCGTTCTACGTCTCTCTCTCCCAGGTGTGATCTAGGCGCAGCCTTACCACCGCCAATATGTCGCATCTTCAACAACAGCTAAAGAGCTTCAACGCTGGTGTCATGGACTATGCAGCCCGAATGCCCCAGCAGCGTCGTTTCGTGCACAACACCAACTCAGCGAGCAGTTCCCAGCTCCCATCCTCTACGTCTACACCTACTCCAAGCGATGATGCGAGACGCAAACGGCACGATGCAGATATTGTTTACTCGCAGCCCGCCAACACCGGCACAGGAAAGGATATCATGACGCAGGTTGTCTTTGCAATCGAGCACATGAAATCCAAGGGAGTTCCGCTCAAGTTTGCCGATATCGTCTCCTACCTGTCCCTTCAACATCGGGCCAACGACCAAGGCTATGTTCAAGCACTCCGGAGCATTCTGCAGATGCACGAGAAGGTCCAGTACGATCCCAGCGGCGCAAACGGCGAAGGCACTTTCAGCTTCCGTCCCCCACACAACATCCGTACCGCCGAACAGCTCCTCCAGAAACTTCAGTCCCAGTCGACCGGTGCGGGGATGAGCGTACGTGAACTTCGGGAGGGTTGGCCAAATGTGGAGGACACGATCAACAGGCTCGAGAAGGAAGGCAAGCTGCTTGTAACTCGGAACAAGAAGGACGATCATGCCAAGATGGTTTGGGCCAATGATCCATCCTTGATCCAGCATTTTGATCCTGAGTTCCGTCAGATCTGGGAGAAGATCAAGGTTCCTGATCAGCAAGCTGTTAAGGAAGAGCTGGAAAAGGCGGGTATCACACCTACCAACAAGAACAAGGTTGTCAAGGCCCGGCCAAAGATTGAGAACAAGAAGGTGAAGAAGCCACGACGGAGTGGGAAGACTACCAATACTCACATGATGGGCGTTTTGAGGGATTATTCGCACCTCAAACGGTAGTGCTTCGTTGCGTCGCCCCCTGGTTCCGAAAAGTGTGCCACCGTCTTTTGGGTGTTTTCTTGGGGCTTACATTGCATTATATTGGCGTTTGTAGGGGTATTAGACATGGGGTTGTTCTATGGTTACCTGTACACTTATATTAGCAAAATCGATACCCGGATAATTAAATGGTTATAGAAGCCTGTCCAGTCTCTTAGTCGCAGATATTAGACTAGACTAAGTGATCTATTATGATAACAGGAAGGAGTGATCATCTCTAATTTTCAACATATGTATACATCTGTTTCACATCTAATTCAAAAGCTAACTCTGTTGACGAAGCCAACATCCCTCAAGCCGTCCACCCTCCAGCTGGTAATCTATATACATCCATCCAGTTTTCGAGTTATCTTCCCCGTTAATGCAATGAGTCCCGTCCGATCCCATGAGGTAAATCATAAAAAATAGCGAGAACAAAAGGTATGTATCAAAACAGCAGAAAGCACGCAGATTTAAAATGCCCCAAGAAGCACAGCACAGAATCGAAGAGAAAGACATGCAAGAGAGGCGATGAAGAAAAGAAGACCAGGTAAAAAGGAACAAGTCAACACTCACTCAGTTCCCATTCACAGCGCCAGCACCCTCCACCCTCTCAACATACTCCACCAAATCCTCAATCGTACATACCTTGATCCCCCACTTCTTTCCAAACCTCAAGCACCCATCCCGTCTCATCATCCCATTGTTACCCCCAATTTCTGGAACTCCCGGTACGACCTCTCCATCCTCCACAAGCTCCGCGATGACACCCGCCTGCGTCTTGCCCGCCAACCGACAGAACTCCACTGCCGCCTCTGTATGTCCCGTGCGTTCCCTGACACCTCCGGGTCTCGCCTGTAGCGGAATTACATGGCCGGGTCGGCGCAGATCCGCTGCCGTGGATGTCGGCGATCCCAGGATCCGACAGGCAAGAGCGCGGTCTTGTGCCGAGATACCAGTTGTTATAGAGGGGTCAGCTGCGTCGACGGAGACGGTGTACGCGGTTCCCTTAGGATCAGCGTTCTCGGTGACCATTTGAGGGAGGGCGAGGCGGGTGGCTATTTCGGGGGTAACGGGGGCGCATATCAGGCCACTATTCATCCATCATTAGCATTGGTGATCCCGTTAAGTAACACTTGATGTGCTCGTGGGGAAAGGAGGTGGGGGAAATGGGGGATTTACCTTGTGTGGCGAACAAGGAAAGCCATCTGCGCCGGAGTGATGGAGTCAGCGGCAATGATGAGATCGCCTTCATTTTCGCGGTCTTGCGAATCGAGCACGATGATGAATTCGCCGTTCTCTGGTGCATTGGTGTGCTTGTTAGTTACATGGATGTTGTATGTATGTGTAATGAATATGGTGGGATGGATTTGCCTCCCGCGCCGGCGCGGGTGGGAGGTTCTGGAGCTGGGTGACTCACTAAAGGCCGCTATTGTGTCCTCAATAGAGTCGAATTGAAGGGTTGGATCCAAAGGGGAATGCATGTTGGCTGGTATTTTCGGGTTGGTTGTCTTGTATGAGGAAGGTGGTTGTCTTGGAGAAATGTGCCCCTCGTTGCTTTGCGGAATTGGAGGCGGGGCTGAGGGAATGGCTAAATGCTACCTTGAGGGTAACTGATTCCTCTGGTGAAATGGGAAGACTGGTTGAATTGGAATTGATAATTATGTCCGAGAATTGAACCCAGTCTGAGTGCGAAACTCAATGGCTTATAACAATTGCGTAGGGTATGCTGTGCAATTGCGATTCTGTAACAATCTTGAGTGGGATGACTGTATCTCCGGGGCGGAAACTCGGAGGCTCGGATTCGGAGAAGGCGGGGAGGGGAGGACAGAGGGAACGGAATCTCTCCCTTACTTTTGAAATGAGGTAATTGAAAAAGCTGTGTATAGGAAATGGGAGAAATTATTTGTAACTAGAAGCAAAGAAGCAGAAGCGGAGCCCTTCAAAGAGACCGAAAGAATACGAAGGAAAGGCAAAACCCGTGGGGGATCACTAATGGTTTGTCAGAAGCCAGTCATCGCGGCAGGCCGAGGCCGTTGAGATTCTCGCCGCACCCGGCAATTCCTCGGACAAGCGTAAGGGGCAAGTGGACAGAAGACAAAGTGTAATCTTGTCTATTTGATCTAAAAGAGTCACTCGCAATTTCTATATCTAAGCACAAGGGTATCGCTACCATAACATCAAGCCCGAACTGGAGGTGTAGTCAACCAGACCAACGAATCATGCATGAAGGGGTACGTGCGGATCGTGAAAAGACAAGCATGCGTTTATCAAATGCGCTTCATCTATTTTGGAAAGAAACATCATCCTCAAATCACAGCCCCAGGCCCCCCATCCGCCTCACTTCATCGGCCTGCCTCTCCAGTGCCTTCCGCATCATAGTGGCATATTCTTCTTCCCGCCGGCGTAGCTCTCGCCGTTTGTTCCGTCGCTCTTCACGCTCCGCTTCTCCAATATGCCCATCGACAGATATAGCGTCATCTTCTTCATCCGAATCTGGACCCATGTCCGGGAGATTGGAGAAATGGACGCGTCCAATGTGTTCTCCTGTCCAGACAAGTAGTTCATCGCCTGTCAGGCTGCCGCCGGTCGGGAGAACCTTTCGTGCGACTTCGCCCTCGCTGCGAGACCGCGATAGGCTACCCCATAATCCGAATGTCTGGTCTTCCTCTTCACCATTAGCATTAGCGTTGCTTCCCGAATGAGTGGACGTTTCCCCATTGCGCTGTGGGTAGTATCTTCGCTGCGGTTGGTATGAATTGATGTTCAGGCGGCGAACTTCGGAACGTCCATCACGCTCAACCCATTTGATATTGCCGTCTGCATCGGAGTAGACAATTCGGGTTCCGTGTGATTCGACCGAGAGCACCTTGGATCTAGCGACACTCTGCCGATTTTGGTACACTGTAGACAGGTTGGACGAGCAGCCCGATGGATCGCTCTTGGCGTTAGTGTTGGAGGGCGTGAGGTTGTAAAGTTCAAGAGAGCCCCGCCCTTTGTAGTCACCGCACGCTACCAACTTGTGGGAGGCGGGGAACTCAGAGTTGGGAGAGACAGGGAATCGCGGCGCAGGAACAGCAGCAAGACCGCAGAGTTGGCCACCGGAATGAATTGTGTTTTGAAGCCGTGGGAAAAAGCGGCGGTCATACTGTAAGATGCTTGGAAAACGGCCGGCGAGGAAGATCGAATTCACGTGCGGCGCGGGAGGGTGTAGAAGCGAGAGAGGTCCTGGTTGGAATAAGGGTGCATAGTTGTCACTGTTCTTTGAGAGATCAGGGCTTCGTATCCGGTGCGGGGGTCGTCCGTTTGGTTGTAGTTGCAAAAGGGGTGAATCTGGAGGAGAATAGATCTCGGACTTGGGGACTAGCGAAACGGTCGGCTCCTCACAGCGTAGAGTGATCGCCTCTTGCTCCTCCGTCGCCGACATTCTGCCATCGTAGATGTGAAGACTCAGAGTGGTAGCCACTGTCAACGGTACAGAATAATCTGTCTCCTGGGACAAGGCAAAAACGGACCAAGGAAAGCGTTGTTGGGAAATAACAGTGAGACTTTCGAGATCTACCTCGTTTAGAATATTCCCGACAGCCAGGTAGGCCCTCCGACGCATAGAGTCTACGCTGACACATTCTCCGAGATTCACGAATTCCAAGGCTTGCTTTGCTCCCGAGTTATCTCGTCTTCCAAACCGGTTTGCCATCAAGATCCCCGGCGAGCTGACCCCAAGAATCTTACCCTTGGTGCTCTGGGATCCAATAGAGTGCGAGTGATTAAGATCCCAAATGCAGACACTGCCGTCATCAAGGGGCGCAACAACTTTGTTCTGTCGAGCAGTACTCCAGTCTCGAAGCAGTCCCATTCCTTTGACCTCACGGTATTCCCTTCTCCCACCCTGTGATGCCCTGGTGAAGGGTTGCTGCATCCAGCTAAGCGAGATCGGGCCATTTCGAGCAATGTACTCCGAGTACCAGTTCACCTCTTCCCCTTCGTAAGACGGGTCCCACGACGCCGCTGCTCTGGATCTCTGCCCATAGGACGGTGTTTGATCCAAGCCGCTTGTTTTACCGTCTCGGAGCCCAGACGCGCCTGGCTGTATGAGCGATCGAAGCGAAGTCTGGCCTAATGAGCTGAGGGAAGCGGTGGAGTTAGTGACTAGGCTCTCGGAAGTCTTGTTGGTAGCGGAACGCAAGGCTCCGGAAGCGCTCCATGACTCTTCGAAGCAGTGGAGTCTCCAGAGATTGTTATCCCGGGCCACGGAGAATAGCCGCCTCGAGACGGACTGAAGTTGTACCCGCTCGTGTGGGGTGAGATCTAAGGGTGCGTCAGCTAATGCTAATGAAGGTCTAGCACATGGCATGAAACCGGTGATGTGGGGTAACCTGGACCCTGAAAGAAATGGGGGCAAACAGCGTACAGTCAATAATCTCGCAGAGGATCTCTACGGGGAGTTTCTCCATGGGTGAGACTGGGAAAAGAGAACCATTGAGGGCCAACAGGACTGACTCATCTAGCTCGTGCGACGGAGGGTGTAAGCAAAGGCCATAACTGTTTCTTGGGGATGAAGCTCCATTTTATCCCCCCACAATCCGCAATCTAGACCGTCGTCACGTGGGGGATGCGCAGGCCGACAAGCAACAGCTCAGCCTGGCATCGCCGATCAACTTCACCTGTATCTGAAAAATTTGCTAGGGCATATAAAAAGGCTGATGTGGCTTACGTAGGTTGGTCTAGAAGTTCAAGTGAATAATTCTGCTCTGTAACCTAAAAGCTCTTGTTGCATTTGGAATGCCGGATACTACATTCCAGCGCTATCATAGGCGGGTTACTAGTCCTATATATAGCAAAGTTACACCGCACGGATTCTTGATGATTCTTGAATTTTCCGAAGGTCTTCCATTTTCTTAATTTCATTTGAGTCGAAATACTAATATCAGCTAATAGCGAGGACCTAATGACCAGCCAAACCCTTTTCCTTCCCTACCCGTTCCTTACCCAATCGTTATAGATGGCATTACTCGTACATTAACCGTCAGACATGAAGCCAAGCAAAACAGCAGAATTATAGATGCCTGGTCGAGATGCGTAAGGATGTATCCTGGCTTTATTCTAATAGTCAGGCTTGTAGACGGCGTCCTTGCAAAGCACGGCCACCTTCTTGAAGAAACGCCGCCATTCCAGCGGATCGCCCTTCACCTTCATGAACTCGATCTCGAAAAGGCCCTCGGAGACACATTCGATCAAAACTTTACCTTGAAGACTGCACATCCTCCCATCCCGAGTCACGATACGAAGCATTGCGGAAGTGTCCCCTGCGGAAACGGCGGGAACCGCAGGAACCGGAACCCCTAGACGATGCAAAGCCTCGCAGATGAGAGGAACTAGGATCTTAAGCTCCCACGTAGAGAAGAATCGTGTCATAGGACGAGAAGGCACGATGTCATGGAATCGCTGTGCTTTCTGCGTCCGACTCAGCGGTACGGACGGATGAGGCGAAAACTGTGACATGGACGGTTCATCCTCTAGATGATCGAGGGCCGACATGTCGTCGGCAGAAAACGGTCGCCCCATGGGTTGTGTTGATGAGAACGCATCCGCCAATTGGGGAGTATCCCAGTCGACCAGCATATCAGTTCTCGGCATCTCCGGCTGCGTTGAAGATATCCTTTGTTCGGCATCAATGCCATCACCCAGATCTATATCCATCCGACCGCCGCCAAAACTACCCCCCTGGGGTTGAGCGAAGGGATCTTGGGAAAAGTCGATATGGAGTGACTCGAACATGGTTGTAGCTAAGTTGATCGGATCCCTTAATGTGCCGTTTCGGGACAAATATTTGTTCGGTCGGGTATACCAGGGATGTCTCCGGACGTCCTCCAAGGAAAAGCGGTTACAGGGGTCGATGTTCAGCATTCCGCGCAGTAGCGAAAGAGTCTCTATAGGCAATTGCTGCCAAAGCTCATCAGATGTGCGTCCATTCGTTGCAAGGTATTCCTGGAATTCGTAACTGGTCTCTGTTGGACTATCCCACGGGGTATTTCCAGCCAAAAGGACAAACAAGACGATTCCGCAGGACCAGATGTCCACCAGGTCCGGCCGATATCCTGCGCCTTTCATCGTATGTTTGCTACTGCAAGATATCACCTCGGGTGCAATATAGGGAGGACTCCCACAAAAAGTTGTAGATAACTTCGTCACGCCCTTATACTCGAACAACGTGGCTAGCCCAAAATCTGCGATTTTCAAGTTTCCGTCAGCTGTCAAGAGCATATTCTCCGGCTTGATGTCGCGATGGCCCACGCCCTTCGAATGCATATATCCCACGGCACTTATGAGTTGCGAGAAGTATACATGCGCAATGTCCTCGCCAACACCCTCGTCGGCCTCGATCTTGTCGAACAAATCGCCACCCTCGGCCAACTCCATCGCAATCCAACGCCAAATGTCATCTTCCCCAGTTTGAAAGAATGATATTATATTGTTATGATCCCCAATATGTTTGTGAACTGTCGCCTCCATTTGTAGCTGACGCGGGCTAACCTTTCCATGGCGGGCGGCGTACTCTTTGTGAATGAACTTGACTGCGAAAACGGGATTGTCTGTGTAGGTGGGGACGGCCTTCTTGATGCTGGCCCGTAAATTTCCGTCAGCAGATGTCCTGTATTTCGAGCAGCAGAGTTCAATCGACGAAGTCCATCATACCAAGCGTAAGCACCCTGACCAATTGTTTTGGAAACGATGCGAAACGGCAAGTCATTTGGCAGCGGGGCCAGCTGAGAGTGGTGCATGTTGACGAAGATTCACGAGACGACAAAAATATGACAGATCAACTGAAATTTCCAGATCGTGTCATTAGTAGGAAGTTAATAGTGAGCCATGATCGTGTGATGGTGGCGAGTATCAATGCAAGGGCGATGGAAGGAGAACGAAGCTGAAGAGAACGCGCTGGGCGGAACGCGAGAGCCACTTTATCCTCTTTGGGTAATCTGTTGATCGGCTGCCTGGCGCAGCCTTTTAGCGGACCCAACATGATGGGGAGGAAGGGGGATATTTCGACAGAGAGATGGAGTCAAGGAGCAGTAACACAAGAGATTAGTTGAAATTTTTGGACTTGACTGAGAAATGCGAAGAACAGGAGAGATGCAGCTACGAGCATTATATCGACTAATTGACCGCCTGATCTACCTTCTACTTAACACACTGGCCATGCTGCTTTGGCTGGCTCGATTTGGACCCGCAGCAGCCAATAATGAAGCCCAACTGGAGGGAAAAGATCCGGCGTCGCACCGAAAAGACACCACAATCACTTTGTATGAACTTGCTGTAGACACTGACCAGTGCTTGGCTGAGAAGAAGGGTGTGAGAAATTTTTAAAATAATAATTCTTCACCTGGCTCCTTCTCACAAGAGCCTTAGACCCCATCATGGGAGGACCACCAGGGAACTGAGTTTCTTGATGACAAAATGACTAGCGACTCACGATAACTTCCAAAGTGTGACGGTTGAAGATGATCTGGACCGGTCATCTGGTGGAGCCCCAAAGAATCAGATGGCGGCGGCGTTGCCGGGCGGATGGCCGAGTAAACAATGAAAGGCCGAACATCCCCCTCCATTATTGTCAACCGGCCTTTTACCCACCGTATTCTTTTCCCCTGCTTTCTATCTTTCTAGACTTTTTGAGCTTGACTACTTGAGTGATCCTGGTAGACAACATTTTTCCACTCCTCCACCTTTTCGCTCAACGTTCCATCAAGGCTTGTTCTGAGTTCACAGCATCCGGGGATTCATCGGGTGGGTCAATCCGCTTCCCCTCCAGCCAACTGTCCCGCTGCATTCGGAGCCAGCGTCATTCCAGACAACCCTCTTCTTCTTCCTCTTCCTTTCTCTTCCTACCGATTACGACGGTCCGTTTAACTCTACCTGACATTCCTCCCATCCCGGAAACTCTCGTCATCGTCTCTTCCTCTTAAACCGACCGTTGTTTCCGCTACAGCCCCCCGATTTCTTTGCTCTCCTTCAGAATGGACTACAGTATGGAAGACACACAGAATTCGGCCCCTGACGCCCATGAGGCGTCCAAGCTCAACTCGTCAGCCCAGAGAACCGACATTCAGAGCGTCACTAAGCGGTTCGTACAATGATGCTGAATGCAGCCTCCAAATCCCTCGGATTTCCTCTGGAATCTTGCATACTGATTATCATTCTATCTCGCCAGCCTCCAAGCCGAGCTGATGCAGCTGATGCTTTCCCCCTCTCCGGGAATCTCGGCCTTCCCTGACGCCGATGGCAACCTCCTCTCCTGGACTGCCACCATCAGCGGACCGGCCGAAACTCCTTACGAAGGACTCACTTTCCGTCTTTCCTTTGCCTTTCCCAACAACTACCCTTACGCTCCCCCTACCGTTCTGTTTAAAACCCCCATCTACCACCCCAATGTCGACTTCTCCGGCCGCATCTGTCTGGACATCCTGAAGGACAAGTGGAGTGCCGTCTACAACGTGCAGAGTGTTCTCCTCAGTTTGCAGAGCTTGCTGGGTGAACCTAACAAGTGAGACGAATTCACATCGCAACGTTTGCGACCATTCATGCTAACCAATAATTAGCGCAAGCCCTCTCAACGCCCAAGCCGCTGAACTCTGGGATACCGATCAAGAAGAATACAAGAAACATGTTATGGCCCGGCACCGCGACATCGAAGACATCGAGTAAATGGTTCGTCTATAATCGTCGTCGTCCGTTCGGTTGTTCCCGCAGACATGGGACGGACCGACTTGCATTGCATGAGATCGGGGTCTGTGCGTTTCATTGGGGGCAACGGTTGCATGGTGCATCCTGGTCTTGGTCGTGACATCGACGGAGCCAGGAGTCATGATTTCAGCACCGATGATTTTCAGGAGTTTATGCGTTCGGGGAATTTTCGTTTGGGGCCACAATTGGAATGGAAATACAGGAGCCCGCGTGTCCCGGGATAAATACCCTGCTTTGCTTTTTACATTCGTTCTTATTTTTACCTGCACATGATGTTGGGTTCGTTGGTAGCTATTACGTAGGCAGTCACGGAACAAAGAGGTAGCTTCCATTGTATCTTTTGATGAATATAAGTGTTAACTTTGTATATTCAAGCATAGTAGCAGAATACATAGGATATACTATTTTTTTTCATCGCCAGGATGAAGAGCATGGCAGTCGATCTCAACCCCACGGTCAATATACCCACATTAGCCAAGGCTATTATAATATGTGCAATATCTACTATGAATCAGTGTCCTTCCAAGCAAGCAGAGCAACTACTGGTAAATAAACAAATAAACAACCCACAATTTATCGCTCCCGCCCCATCCCATTCAGTCCGATGTTACTTTCCTAGATAGTACTTAGTGCCACAAGGTACACATATAGTACTACATAGCTACAACGTTATATACTCTACAATACTGGATGAATAGCTATGTGCTCTATATATCCTCTCATATCCCATAAATATGCTATGTTACACAGTGTTATCCCCTCCATCACTCACAGACCGTTAAGGGAGAGAGAGCATCCGTACCTTCCTAAAGCGGGAGAAGAGCGGCAGCGTCTTCCGGACTTGTCGAAGCCCTTTGAGATCATTTCTCTTACGTCGAGTACTTCGTACGCAAACAGACATTTTGAAGAACTAGCAGTTCGAATTCACTTCTTTCCGTCTTTGCTCTAAAAGAACAGTTGCTATGCGATACTCAGCTCAACTACACACGCACACACATTGAACGGTCATTTCGACAGCGAGCCAGATATACTATTACCGACTTCCTAGATAGCAATCATTCCGGCAATTGCTGCGCTCATAAGCGTGCTAATGGCCCCTGTTATCATTGCACTAACAGCCACACGAGACACATCTCCTGCCCGCTCGGGAGCCAATTGTGCCAGGACCCCGATCTGGTTTCCCAGGGAGCCGATGTTTGCAAATCCGCAGAGCGCGTACGTGGCTATTAGTCTTGATCGAGGAGATAAGGACTGGTATTGCGGGTCGGTCTGGAGGGCTGAGTAGGCTATGAATTCGTTCTAACGGTTATACATTTTGTTAGGAGTGGTCTCTGGGTATTGCAGAAGGAGCTTACCATGACGAGCTTCATCCCGATTAGCTGCGCTACTTTCAGGAGGTCGTCGTTACGGGAAACCCCAAGGAGAAAGGAAACGGGGTAGCAGATATATCCCATGATGAGTTGGATGGTCAGAGGAGGATCGTTAATATTCAAGTAACGTCCCCACCAGGTGAGAAGGCCGTTGGCTAGGCTGACCAGCGAGATGATACAGAGTAGGTTGGCGGTGATCATGCCGGCGATTTTAATACCCATCCAGGCGCCATTTGCAAACGCGTGAAGGGCGTTTGCGGCTTGATGCTCTTCGTCTTCCGGTACGGTGACATGGCCTGCTGTGAGGGTTTCCTCGTTTTCGGGCCAGCGTATTTTGGATGCTGCCAGGGAGGCGGGGATGCTCATGACGCAGGAAGATACAAGGGCTTGAGGATTGACGCCCATGCCGATGTATGCGATGAGACCGGAGCCGGCGATGGTGGCAAATCCAGAGGTCATGATTTGATGAATTTCAGCCATGGTCAGGTGCGGTACAAAGGGCCTTATAAGCATGGCTGATTCCCCCTGCCCGATGAACGGAGAGGCCGCTGCAACAACCGCTTCTGCCCCGGACACACGCATCGACCAGAAAAAGAACGTCGCGAATTTGCAAACGAACCATTGTAAGATGCCAGCGTGATATAGGAGCTGCACAAGAGATACGAAGAACATAATCGCAGGGATGACACTGACGATGAACCAGCCTTTGTGTTGCTCAGCCCAGCCTGTCTCGATGAGGAAATCGACGCCTTGCTCTGCAAATCCCAGTAGCTTCTGAGCTAGGGTCGATATGAAGTTGAAGATGTCGTATCCCGCCTGTGTCCGCAGGACGAATAGCGCCACGATAAATTGAACCAACATGCCAACGATGACGGTATGCCAGACGATCTTCTTGCGATCCCGAGAGAAGAGCCATAGGATAAACAAGAAGACGATCAGTCCGAATAGGCTGACTGCTCTGTCGGCTCGCGTGTTGTCTGGTGTAGCCGCAGAGACGAAGCACCCGATCATAATCACGGTAATTGTCATTGACGCTGCTCCTGGTATACGAAACCTTGGAGGCACATAGCTTACAAGACGCGAGATGGTCTGTTTCCAGATCCAGAAGACCGGTCTGGTGAGCACAGATATGGGAAGATAAAGAAAGACAATGCGCAGAGTGATGGCCAGATAGACGATAAATGGGATTAGCCATCCCAGGTCATCGTGGTGAAGGACCAGCCCCGCGACCCACCAACTGGGGATAATAAGTAGGTAAGCTTGCGAATCTTTGAGGGATGAAAGAGCTAGTACTAAAGACTCACCCTGTGAAAAGTATCAATATTCCAGCATATGCCACATGCTTGGTGTGTCTGGACATGCAATGGCGATACAGTTGCTGTGGGGTGCGGCTTATGTCGGCTTCTCCGATATCACTTTCTTCACCCTGATGTTCTTCTCTGGGCGTTTTCTTCATATCTCGAGCACCGAGATTATCGACACGAGGGGCTTCTGGATCACCTGCATGAACATCGGCAATCTCTTTCGATATTCTGCAAGCCGGCGGGATGACTGTAGTCTTTTGGCGAGTCGTCAGAACTTCTTCATCTACCATCATTTTTCGAGGAGTAACCCCTCAGGAAGGAGTCAGTTGAGTTAGTCACGGATCCAAGGGATATGACGCTGTCTCATGGTTCACCTGCAGCCTCTTCTAGGAGACATTTGCGGGAAGAATGACACGCGAACAGAAGATGGTTTATGATAGGCTTTCGGTGAGACACGTCTGATCAGCGAATGGTGAGACCTAAGCAGCTTATCTTCTCCAAAGAAACTTAATACTTGAGGTCGTACAATGTGGGTTGAAAAGCTCTATCGATTGGCAAGATGCATTATGCCAGGGATGGAATCACGGCCATTCCGGCGGTCTACCCTTTATACTTTTCCATCCCAGTGTCACCTAGACTTTTGCTGCTTACTATGAATGACTGTGTAGCCAGGAACGAGCATGTTTGCGGGGATGTTCCATTTCACGCAGTTAATCGTACGGAGCAGTGTAACTTTGAGAATGACGTTTGAGCAACTCGTGGCTTTACCTTACCTCCCGGCCTATCAGCCGGCTTTGCTCATCCTAGTGCCTTGCACGGAAGGGGCTAACCATCATGCTTCTTGATGACATCGCTATTACTGTTGACTGTGGCTCACTCAGTGAAAACTGCGTTGTTTCGCATTGTGTCGAATCTCATGATGGAGATCTGGGCGTGCAGTTGTAGCTTGGAGACGATCAGTGTGATTGGCCTGATGAGGTGTGCTCTGCGTCGCATATTTCAGCAAACAACATTACACACTATACATCAGAACAATTACCATGCAAATATTTGGTATAAACGAAGTATACTTTGCACACAGGCACACTTGCGGTAGCGACTATTTGCTTTAACACCTTTTGCGATGCAATGACGGAATTATATTGCCGGTTTGGTTTATTCGTCTCATACTTTCTAGAGTCTGTTAAGTATTGAAGGAGCGAAATCTACTGACCTTGGGAAGGCTATGGTAGAGATTCTTCTAAAATTTCATGGATGATCCATAAAAAATGGCCATTCCAAGCAATCTACGTGGCTGGCTACCTTTGATCAAAATTCGGAGAAATATGACGTTGCAGTCAGGGTTTACATCACGGATCATTCATAATATGGACACGCTTAGCTAGGACTCGAAATTATTGAAAGCACTTCGTAAATGCAGTACCTTCAATCAAACAACAAGAGCAAGAGGCTCAGGAGAATTTCATTAGTCGGTCTCTTTGGGTCAGTGTGGATGAGCCCATGTGTTCTCCGTTTTTCTTGTATGACTTTCTCAATATCTGAATGATCCAGCTGGATATTTACGAGTCCGTGGCTAACAAATCTGGCGGATTTATGCAGTATATGATGCATGGCTTGTGAGTATTGGGGCTCATGGTACCCTTGGCGTCTTGACGCCCGGATCGCGAGCAAAAGGGTAACATGGATTATGAGAAGCACCCTTCTTCCTCGCGAGAACAATACTTACCTCCTCTCCCTACCTAGTACCATTTGGATATAGTTTCTGGGTAGTAAATTAGTTTCCAACAATCTCTACAGTACGCTAAGAGCAGCTACATATCCATTCCCAACGCTAGTAGAGGAAACGAGACACCTGCACAGCAGGACGGATGCTACACTGGAACAGAGCCCAGACCTCACATAGCGAGATTCAGCATGTTGGAATCTTGTATGAATGGCCTATTCCCGCATGCAGCCTGCGACTTGATACGTTACATCGAGGGGGAACGGCAAGCGGGTTGGGGCATGGAACATCGTTGGACTGTGAGACGGGGATGTACAACATGACTGCAAGACAGGGATGCCACTACTAGATATATATTGCCATTGACTACCATCGTATTAGCATGTGCTACATTCGGACCCTAGAATCAATGAAACGGAGAAACCGATATATTGATCGGTGTGGGATACACAAGGCAGAAATTCCCCAAAAAACAAACGACCGGTCGGTGGACGCGTTCGGTAGATATCAGCTACCACATCGGTATACCCTTCATTCAAGGCCAATAATTGCGACGGACAAATTTAACTCGACTGGGCGAAAAATCAACGACACAACCAGTGACAGGAGCGGCTGTGTGAAGGGAAGAAGACAAAAAGGTCGTGCCCGGGATCGAACCGGGATTGCTGGAATCAGAATCCAGAGTGATGACCATTACACTACACAACCTGTTGTTGTGATAAATGGTTTAATTTCTTGGAATACAAGCTAAAGAAAGATAATCAAGAACAAGGTCGTGATATGACCTCATTGTTTTCGCCTGCTCAAGGTACCTGAATCGACTCTACCCCGCAAGTCTGTTTCACACGCTACAATATGCATAACTTGCACAACATGGAGCCGCAGTCGGATGAGGAGTGGCAAATTGAGGAGGGTATTCCCCAAGTTGATGATCCTTTCATTCAGCAATATATGCGGGGTCGAAGTTCGCTTATACTGGAAGAACAAAAGCAGCGGCATGGTGGGTCGTATCACGCTCAACATATTTACTTGGACTTGGCTAATTCACGATACTAGATTGCAATCTTACCAAGGCTTTGCCGCCGACAGCCGCTAAAGCTTGTAATATTATCTCCAGAGTCCGCGACCGGGAGCTACATCAGCTGTCTTCTTCGTCGGGTTTAGATGATGCTCGCTTTCCCGAGGCCAAGTCCCTGGATTGGGATAGGGTGCAGAAGACAAAGCTGTGGAGGATCATCAAGGCGATGCCTAAAGGATCTCTATTACACGCTCCGTTACATGCCATGATCAATGTTGATTTTCTAATTGAAGTGGCATTCGCTACCCCGGGAATGTGTGTCCTTGCGACGCAGCCTTTGACATCCCAGAGTGACTTGGATGAGAAGGCGTTCATTTTTCAATACTCGTTGGCGGCATCAAAGGACATGGAAGACAGACCTACTGTGTGGTCGTCTGCATACGAGCCCTCGAGTCTTATCCCATTGAGAAAGGCGGCTTCTTCTTTCCCAAATGGGGGAGAAAATGGGTTTCGTGACTGGCTGCGCAGCCGGTGTGTACCTCAAGCGGGGAGTGAGAACTACCATAGCCGTGCGATTCCGCTTGTCAATTCTCTGCTCAGCTATGAGCCTATCCTGCGGGCATGCTTGCGGCATGTTTTTGCTTGGCTACGGAGCGATGGGATCAGATACGTGGAGTTCAGGACGACTTTTACCTTCCCATATCGCAAGGAAGGAGAGGATATCCCCGAAGAAGGCCATAGCGATTGGTGCCACGTGTTTCGAGAAGAGCTTGCACGATTCCAAGGAACGCAGGAAGGGCAAGGGTTTTACGGAGCGCGGATTATTTGGGCCTGTCCGCGCTCATTGTCGAAGCGAGACATTGTTGAAAACATGAAAGATTGCATCCTGGCAAAGTATGATTATCCCGATACGATTTGCGGGTTCGATATGATAGTGGATAAGGATGATCAGCACTCGCTCACTGATCTGGTTCCCATACTATTCTGGTTTCGCAAAGAGTGCTCTGCAGAAGGACTCGATATCTCTTTCTGCTTCCACGCTGGCGAATCCCTGAGAACAGGAGGAGACCAAGGTTTGTTCGATGCTGTCTTGTTGGGCGCGCGGAGGATATGCCAAGGGCTCTCGCTCAGCCAACATCCACTACTGATCGAGCTGATCAAGGAGAAAAAAATTCTAATTGAGTGCAGCCCGCTCTCGGACGAGATCCTTGGACTCACCGACGGTATTCAGACTCATCCTCTACCTGTCTTATTATCCCGTGGTGTTCCTGTGTCTCTTGGTACCAATGCGCCGGGCCTGCTCGGTGAACCGAATGATCTGACACGGCAGTTCTGGCAAGCGGTTCAAGGGATTAATAGCATGGGTCTTACGGGCCTTGCAATGATGGTGGAGAACTCCATCCGGTGGAGCTGTTACCAAGACCAGCCATCGGCGGAGTGGCTGTCCGATCTTCGGGAAGGGATCTTGGGGGAGGGGACGAAGGCTAGCCGTTTGCAGGAATGGTATGCAGATTTTGAGAAGTTTTGCCAGTGGGTTACAGAGGAATTTGCGGAGGCGGAAGGTGAGGAGCAAGACTGAGTTATTCCACATTCCACCCATAGAGTATCCGTCAACAATCATTCCTCAAAAGTTGCATAGAACCTCTTTATGAAGGGGCACGCTTAGTAATGATAGCGATATGCCGAGATGAATAAGCAGAACGTGCTCGTTATGCAAAGCAACAACGCTTGCAGCTTTTCAGGAGAACATTGCCTCATCGCAGCAGTCGTTAGTTTGACCGGTCGCAGGTAGTGTGGAATCAATGTAGACTAGACTAGAATATGATCAGCGTCCTGGTGAGCAGAATCATGTCGGCTGCTGCATGATTCATTCAGTGGAGGTTGAACTCCAGAAGAGCGGATGACGGACTTACTCCACGAGCCAGTTCGATTTGGGGGAAGAAAGGAGGAATTTTGCAGCAGGATGACCGTTGGAATTATTTCTCCTTCATCATTGATCTTATTGTTTACTTTTTCTTGCACTCTCGTGGTAAATATTAGATTATTTTCCGTTTATCACCGTTAGGCCGAGGCTATCTACTCCGTAAATAGTGTCGAGAGCCCACCAGACACCGAACGAATCGCTCATTGCCATGGTTCAGCTGGCAGTTGCTTGTCCGGCATTTGCACTTCAGCCAGCTGTTCTGGATATTTGCCCGGAGCCAAGCGCATCCGCATCCTCTGGTTGACAATTCAAAACCCTCCATGAGGCGATAAGTTCGACGTAAGTGTGAGTTGTCATGGTGTGATTTGGGGAGGCCCGGCCCAAGCTCCGCCTGACTATTGCGGTTGATCTTCGCTATCTCTCCTCCACTAGCGCCTCCATCCCCGAACGTCATCCTTCCCTCCGGCACTTCAGCAAACCCTCCGCATTTGTTTCCCGACACCTGTTGTGCTGGTGCCTGTCCAGGAGCAAGGCATCTCTCAACTTTCCGATCGTCTCTTTCTTGTCCTTGTTGCCTTATTATGTTTTTGCTCAGATGACAGTTGCCATCTTCAAATGAGCCCCCGCC